AATAGCGATGGCCTCCAGTAGGAATGGCCTCCAACCTAATAGCGATGGCCTCCACCTAGTAGCTTCTTGTTCGTTTTCAAAAAATGACCTCAGCGGCGTCAGAAAGGACGACTTAAGCAAAGCGGCGATCGGATACGTAGAGAGGTAGAATGTTCGCTGGATGCGTAAATAGCTGCGACAGTTGGCCAGCATCAACCTTCATAAGCTAACCCAAAGGAAACAGCAAGCTCCAAGCTGTACGATTCATCCGCCGGTTTCATCATTGATCTCTAGTGACAAGCCCGTACGTCCAACACTTCCAATACGGACAGGATCCGATCCGGAAAACCCACGCAGAATACGCCATACGCCCACCATCACCACGAAGGTATACAGTATCAACAAGCACATGGATCCAGAAAACGCACATGGATCCTGAGAATGGCACCCTGAATTACTGCTTTCCTCTACTACACAAAACGCACGGGCTCCCAATACTGCTCACACCCAACCCTTGACCATAGGTTGGGTGTGGATGCAACACTGTAAACCATCAAGATGAGCCCCAAGCAAATGGTCGACCTGAAATACTGTTTCCTCTACAAACCAGTGGTTTTCAGTGTCCATGTTAGTCTTCAGCAAGCTAGTTACTAGTTGATTCTTCTCTCAATGGAGTCTTACAAAGTTCTTCACTGCTTCTGCAGAAATTCACAGCTTCACCAGCAAATCGTCATTCCCCTTTGGGGTCAGATTACTGTACGATCCTCCAAAATGGTCTATGCTCTGATGACTGGTGATTGCCAAAGTGTTGATGGATCACAGCAATGTCAATTTCCAGATCTGGATTTGCAAATAGCTGCTGAAAGCAGCTGGCTGTGTTCGTTGCAGTTGGCTTGTCCGGACCCGCTTGAGCAACTCATGATCTCATGCCTTGCGTTGTTCTGCCACTACCTCATGTATCATGCCCCAGATACTATTCATGATCCACAACCAAACCTAAAACTCCCTCGCAGCAAACCAGACGTGCCTTCCCCTCGAGCAATCGGGCCGTCGGGTACAGCCTGACAATCTTGGGACGAGAGAAGCATCCAGACAGGCTGCTTCAAAACAATGCAAGGTGTGTCTTCATGTGGGTGGTGCGGTCGCGTTTCAAGCTGTTGTCTCAGACATATTTTCTGCCCCTGCCCATTCTTGTGTTTGGGAGGCTACCAATACAACAGGAGGCCCCAAGCAACAAGAACCTGAACCCAACAATTCAAACAATCGGCTTCTTTCAAGATCCAAAATGAATGCGATTCAGCAGAGTATGAATAAGATTATGATATGTGTCAGAATATGTTGCTTACTTTCGGCATCTCTGACAGTAAAATTTGGAGAGGGAGCCAGAGAGACTGAAAGACTGCACGGGTGGCATTGAGTGCACACAGGCTACAGGTGACATGCACATACTTTTTCAATGCAAATTGTCAGCAACACCTCATACGAGTAGCATTCAACATTACAACTGCCCTCGGTTCGAACCATTGAAGCCAACAGGACGCTGCGGTTCGTTCCGACGGCCTCTTCAGCCAGGTCATCTGCGAACGAACCGCGTCCAAAAACATGTTTGGGCCAATCCCTTACGTACTCAACATTGTTCAACCTCACAACCAACCGTCATTCTGACGACCACTGGCCACTGTGAATACCAGGTCTGTCATTCTGTTGGCGACCCATCACAGATCCCAACACAATGTTCTCTGCCTGTGGAGGCATATGGCCGCGCGGACCGCGCGGGGATCGCGCGCAGAAAAGCGCGCTGGCTGCAGAGCCGGCAGCGATTTTACAGTGATTTTTGGCTAAACCATCACCAAAACCTAGGTTTTGAGCTATTGTTAGATCAATTTTGCGCGGGCCAGGCCTATAACAGTTTTGAGGGAATACTACAAAACAAAAAACAAAAATGAAAAAACAAAAAACAATGTTTGAGACAAAATGGGGGTACTATAGGAGTTGGATTGTTTTTGCTTTTTGTTTTTTGGTTTTGCCTCCATGTGGTCTCAAACATGTTTTTTTTGTGTTTATGGTTTTCATGGTTTTGGGTTTTTTTGGTTTTTGGTTTTTGGGTTTTTGTTTTTTTGGTTCTTTGGTTTTTCTTAAACTTTGGTCTTTTTAATATATTACATTTTTGACACGGTTGCATAGATGTCAGGGTTTGTACAACTGCTTTTGCCGAGTACTGGCGCCGCTGTGCTTCCGATAGTATCGCTAAACGCAAGTCCTGCGCAGAAAATCCATTGAAATTTGATCAAAACGACTCTGCAAAGGCTACCCCTCATGAAGCCACCATACCCTAAACAAAGTGCGCCCTAAATAAAGCTAAACATGTTTGTTGCCTGTTCGAAGAATCTAAGTAAAGATTCATTTCATTTCCTTATTAAACTCCTTCCTTAGAATTCCCTTTCTGTTCTAAGTAAAAGTTCATTTCACTTATTAAGCCCCTTTCTTTGAAATCCTTTTCTGTTCTTAGTAAAGATTCATGTCATTTCCTTATTAAACTCCTTTCTTGAAGCCACCATACCCTAAATATAGTGCACCCAAAATAAAGCTAAACATGTTTGTTGCCTGTTCTAAGTATCTACTGTAAGTAAAGATGCAGTTCATTTCCTTATTAAATTCCTTCCTTAGAAATCCCTTTCCGTTCCAAGTAAAATATTCATTTCACTTATTAAATTCCTTTCTTTCTTTTCTTCCCTTTCTGTTCCAAGTAAAGATTCATTTCATTTCCTTATTAAGTTCCTTTCTTAGAATTTCTTTCTGTGTTAACAAAAGAGTCTTTTCATTTACTTATTACAAATTCTTTTTTTTGAAGTCTGTTTGATCTCAATTCCAGGAACTTGTTCTAAGTAAAGATTCATTTCATTTACTTCTTAAACTCCTTTCTTAGAATCTGGAATGAACTTTATTCAAGGTCAAAGTGAGGGGGGAGGGGGGGGGGCCTGTTTATTGACAATACGGATGCTCCTGGGAGATGTGTTTTTTTACAAAATGGACACGTAAGAATACATCATGAAAAGCCAGATAAGCAAGAGACTAAAGCATTATCATTGACATACATGTTCATTTTGATGTGTATATATAGTATTATATATAATATAATATAATATATAAATATATATATATATTCGCTCATGATGCTACATTCATTGCGCGCAGCGAAAGATTAACCTACTTGTCATTGGTGTTACACATTGATAGTGGGCAGACGAAGAGCTGTTAATTGTTGTAATTGACATTGCACACCCAGACTGGGCACAGGAAGGTTGAAAAATATGCGCTTCGCCTAGGTCCCAGAGCAGTTGTTGAAATGTTGCACGGTATTTGCAGTGTTTTCTAAAGGTTTTGAGCTAGTATGTGCTCTCCCAAGCACACCCGCTCTCTTGCAAAACGTGGTGGTTGTTGGGCTGTTGCAGTGGGTTCACGTCTGCTCCTCCAGTGTGTGCATGAGCGCTCTATTCGCTCCATGTTGGGTGTCATGGGCGTGATTTATAAACCAGCAACAAGCCAATCATCCATTTGCATCTGCTCCACCTTCCCACACTGTCTGCTCTTTCCACCCCGTGGTGTTTTCAGCCAGTGCGCAACCTTGCAGCCTTCCCAGCCATCTCTCTGTAAATCGCACGCCAGGCCCCTTAAACCTGATTTGAGTGAGGGAATTCAGCCAGGCAAATGGGACGGGGCGCTGCTGGGGTGCTCACCAAACTATTGGACTCAAGAATGATAAAGCTGACCATTGCATGTGTCTTCAAGGCCGGAAATACCTTACCTGGATACTCTGCATACTTTTCCATTTGGCCAGCGAGCAAAGCAGGATGAGCAGGTGCTTCCGGGTTGCTGGTAGATTCAGCTCGATTCGGGAATGGCGCAGGTGTTCCCTCTGTAGCGTCACTTGTATTCCGTAGCGTCAAGATCCACAGCTTGCAACGGGGCATTCTTTTTGACCGATGAGATGACCTTGAGCAAGGTCGATGGTGCGCCTTGATCACAGAACCTCTGGGGGTTCTGAGGCTGGACAAAGGTTGCTCAGGCGTTGTCCTCTACGGTACGGCTGGCTAGGCTGTCTCCCCCAACTTAAGATTAGATTTGAGCCATTAGACTATTAGACGCACTTCTGGCCGTCCTTCTTTTCCTCGGCCAGCACACTCACAGGGGGCAGCAGGGCTTTACCTCAAGCTAGCTAAAGAAAAGACCGTGGAGGCTCCGACAAAATTGCAATAGAATGCAGTTGTCCAATTCAGATTCAAACTCCAACTGGAGACCTCTCACACTGGTGAGACGCGTCATGGACGCCCTGATCCCTCTGAACCGACTAAGGTGCGCACGGAATTCCGGCGCAACAACTTCTCCGGCACAGTGCGAATGCACACCACTTCCGGTGGAAATGGAAGGGTGGAAGGCGCCCACCTTTTTGGGCCCCTTTTCTTTCATGCCAACAAACTGGTCAATGAATACACACCTGTTCACTGTTCGCCCAATACAAAACTCTCCTCACTTTCTTGAACCAAAGGTCTATGGATCCGTGGCGTCGCCGCTTATGTCAACGCTGCGCTGCGCTCGCGCATGTCTGGCCGCTGCGTCGCAGCAGGCCGGCTCAGTCGGCGCCCATGATGGCGCCATGTAGTGCAAAGCAGAGGAAGAGGACCTGCAGCGGATGTGGGGATGGGTCGTTCCAAGTAGCTTGGAGGCCATCGCTAGTATAGGTGGGGAAGGTTCCTTCGATTCAACCTGGAGCCAGACCAGTCCCACCTGGGTAGCGAACGACCGACACCTACGGATAAGTCCAGTCGGTCTCCTGGTGCCTCTAGCCATGTGGCACTGCATCATCCCACCTGCATGCCTGCGAGGCCTGCCACGAGCTCTTCGACATTTGGTCGAATCAGACCACCCAGAAACAGGATCTGGAGTCTCCTCGCATGCTCTACCGACCCCACACCAGGCGCCGCCACGCCAACCCACGACCACGGGGGGGTTGGGTCCAAGTGGCTCCGCCGGCGGTGACCACCATCCGCTCGGAGATGTGTTCCGCCAACACACGGCCACCCATGACCTGAAGCAATCCGTTTTTTCGCGGGAATGGAAGAAGTGGAGGCGAAATCAGGTGAAATCAGGTGAGAAAAGGAGAGGGTGGCTGGAGGGTGGGTGGTCTGGGTCCGGTTCGATGGAAACCAAAAGGGATCTCTACAGCGATCCAAGTTGAATCTGGGGGAGTCTGAATCCGGAGAACAGGGAGGACTCCAGGACTGAACACTCCGATCTTGACCCGTTGGCGAATCTCTCTCAGCTCCCAGCTGCCAAGGTCGTACAGCAGGAATGACCGATGATGCCGCCCAAGGTCACGCCCAAGGGGTCCTGAAATGACGGTTAATTGAAGCCATCCAGGATAGTCATCCGATTTCTCTGGACTGTTAGCGAGTTGGAGAAGATGCCACAAACCCGGATAGAAGTTCGCTTTTCGTAGATTTCAAGGAGTGCGGAGATTCAAGATGTTTTCCTCCCCGTTCTAAGGTTGAAGGAGTGAGTTCCCCTCCCACTCGAAGGCCGTTCACAAATTTGTGCATCGAGCGAACGATGGCATGGAGGGCCCGGAATTCGGAATTCCGAGGGCCACTCGAGGTCAACGGTCTCTCCAGCGTGACGAGAGGTCTCTCCACACGCTGGATCTGCAACAGGTCTTGTTTAAGACATTCCAAAAAAGCAGCGTGTCTTTTTGAACCTAAGAGCAAGGACACTACTAGTGGCTCGGCTTCCGCTTCCAGCTTCCGCCAACGGTCCACCACCTTTCGCGGGCGCGCCCCCGCGACCGCGACCGGCTCCTTGGCGGCGGCCAAGGCGATGGTAGAGATCTGAGATCGATCTCCCCACTCGGCCAAGAAGGTCAGTGTCAAGGCCTCCACAGCGCCGAAAGGTCACTGCTTCGTTCGGGCGCTCTGGTTTGGAATCCCCCGGTGGCGAACGAAGCAGGTGCGATGTCTCACATCGCTGGTGCGGGATGGGAGAGACGGTCTGCCAATGAAGAGACCAGAGCCCAAGCAACCTATGGATCCTTTGGGGTGTACACGTCCCGCCTAGGCGACTAGGCTGTCGTTGTCTCATCCAAGTCACTCTATGTCTCATCCAAGTCCAGTCCCTCCTGAACGGCCACGGACCAGAACTTCTTCTGCTTCGAGCTATCCTCCTGCACCAGGCATGGCATGGCGCGATCTTCGTGGCGATGTTCATCCAAGGACGCACGGACCAGGTGTGTCCGTCACCAGGCCGAGTGCCCTTTTGGGGGGTCAAAAGAAAGAAAACACCATGGCGCCAGAGGGCCTCCAAAAAAAGAAATCCCTTCTCAATGTCATCTGAGACACCCTTGGTTCTGCGATCGTGAGATGATCCAGGAAGCTCGTTTGGGATCCACCTTCCCCCTATAGTCATTGCACCAAAGACATGTAACACGACGTGGAACCCCCCACCCAGGTCGGCCGGTCCACGAGTGATGCCTGAACCAAGCCAGAACCAAGGTTCGGTCTTCATCCTCTTCTTCGGTTCACCCCGCGCTTCTGAAGCGCGGTTCACCCGGGAGGTGATGGGGTCGGTCACGCCTTGAGGCTTTGCTCTACCTCTTCCAGTTCATCGCTCGGCCTGAGTGGGGAATCCCATCGTGAAGCAGACGAGTGAGCAACTGGTGCTGGTAGAACTAGGCAACCCAACAAAAACTGAAGGTTTCTGTACACATGGATTATGCCAACGAGGTATGAGATGGCGAAAGCAGGTGGGGTTTCACCACTTGTTTCAGACCTTGAACTGGTTCGGTTTCACAGATTGAATTCCACGCCCCTGAACGTGAAGTCGTAGCATGTGTGTGTGTGTGTGTCTATGGAAACATCTCAGCTCTTTTTTTCACTGTAAGCCGCCGGAAAAGGCCAGTGCCAGCGGCCAATTCACCGCCAGCACAGTGGCACACCCTGGCATCTTCAAGGTCATGGTGACACGCTGTCAGTCTGATCTTTTTCAAACTTCGGTCGTGATCAGTGGATCATGTCCGGCAGCCCCACTTGCGCTGAAAGACATCCAACTCAAAGACATCTCTTGATCAATCATGCACTCTTGATCAATCAAATAGACCCCCGAGGTGCAACCGTCTGGATGGTCAGCAGAGTGCCATCGTCCAGTGGCCAGTCTCACTTGATGAGGCGAGGAGAAGGACCTGCATCGCTCAGCAAAGGCTCCAGCCGCTGCGTATGCTGCGCCTGGCCAAGGGGTGCCACAGGAGCTCATCAAGAGGAAGACCAACAGCAACAGCCACAAAGCTGGGTCCTATATACAATAATATATGGTTTTACAGAGTCTGTCTGATTCTGGATTCCTTGATGCTTCTCAGTCACTTGGAAATCAGTCCAACAACTACTCACCAATCTCCCCCAGTGGCTCGAGGCACTGACTCACGCATGGTCTCGACTCCTGCGGTCTCCCAACCGGCCCCCCGCACCGAGCGCGTGCGGCGAGACCCACTGCCGACGCCTCAGCAAAGTGCGGCCACGGCGTGACGCACGGTTCAACGGTTTTGCTTTTGTTCAGGTGAGGTTTCTAGGGTCTAGAATGGTCAAGAACATGTGATGTCTTTTATGGGATCCTTTCCGGCCTCAAAGGATGCATCTACGATGCCAGCGCCCCACGGAAGAGTTTGGGATCACGGAAGAGGCGGAAGAGACATGGGTCTCTCGGTCTCGTCGAGTCAGCACGGTCTCTTCTACCAACAGGTGGGTGGGGTCGTGCGGACCCAGAGTCCACCGGTACCGCCGAGGATTGGACCCCGAAACACCGGTCCTTTCGGCCCAGACGCCGCTGGCTCCGGGCACATGGCTCCGGCTAAAGGCTGCCTCATCTCCCGAGCGTGGCCTCGGGATGCGGCAAAACGCCATGTGCCACGCCACGCAAGATTAATATGACCAATCCAACAAAGCTCCCTGACCTTGGATCTCCAAGATCAAACATCTTGCTCTTAAGTTGGAGGCCATCGCTACTAGGGTGGGTGCCATCGCTCTTAGGTTGGAGGCCATCGCTCTTAAGTTCCTTGTGTTTTCAGAGGCCTCCCCTGACCTTCCCTTGACCTGCCATTCGCTTCAACGTCCCGGGACCCCCAGGCGGCGGCGGCACGGGCGCGCGCCGCGGGCCACGAGGCGTCTCGCCCGGGAGCCGAGGAGGTCCTGGTCGAGGCCGGGCCCGAGAGGACGCACCCACCCAGCAGTTCCATTGGAGTTGGGTGCTATCATGTGCTATCCATGGAGGAAAAACATGGGGTGCTGTCACATCATATCCACTCAGTGGCTGGGTGAACAAATCTAAGACTTCTGCATGCTCAGTTGTAAGTTCAACATCTTTAGTCCCAAAAAGATCTCCCGTTCATCCAACTTGAGCGGGATTCCGGATTTTAAGCCGTTGGATTTGTTCGCGAAATCCTTCGAAGATGATTCTCCAGCGTTTCTCATCATCAAAAAGAAGGAACTGAACTAGACCTTTTATGGTTCATTCACAGATTCTTTGCCGCCCAAAGAGACTTGACGAATTCTAAGGAGGGCTTGAGGGCTTGACTTCATCCGAGGTACTGGCCAGCGCGTTTTGCTCGTTTGACACGTTTTCCTCCCTGGATTTCGCAGGCAAGTGTCCTGCCTTGGCAATGACCGTGCAGGAGACGTGTGTAGTGCTGTTGGTTTTGCTTCGAATCAGCAGGATGGACCACCCTCACTTGCGGGAACTCCGACCATTTTCTTGGTGAAGCTTTGCAATGTGAAGCCCTGCGACAGGCCCTGTGAGGGTTCAGAGTTTTGGAGCTCCACGCAGCTTCACGAAGCCATGTTCTTGTCAAGTGCAGAGGTCAAGTGCAGAGGGACATTGAGCGAATTCGGGGATCCAGTAACCAGTGCTCTTCCGCAAGTTGAACGTCTCATGGCAGTTGAACAAAGTCGTGACAGTGACCTTGCATTCCCCGACCGCATGCCCCACCCCATCCTCCCCACACCATGCCATGCCAAACCACAAGTGAACCGTCTTGTGACTGACGGACATCGACATGGGAGGTCCTTCCACGGCGGCTGACACAATTCCTCAGCCCGGTAGTCACCAAATGGAATGCAGCTTTTGACTGGCTGAGGGCAGCTCCCACAATGGACTTTTGCAGTAGGGTAGCTTTTTGTTGAGGGTTGTGTCATCTGCAAACAAGAAAAAGCATGCCACGAGAACGGCGTGCAGTATGGGGGTCCGCCGAGTCCGAGTACGGCTCCTTCTGCTTAAGCTATATAAGTGAGCCCTGAAAGGTCGGCTTGTTGCAACACTATAAGGCAGGTGTTGGGGGTAGTTGAGAGAGTGATCGCCGGCTCGGCGCCAAAAAAGGTTCCATTTACACCCATCTCCCAGGACAAACCCATGTCAGGCTGCCAAACTTGGAGCTCTTTGAGCGGATGGGACAACGCAAAACCTTCGAAAATTGGAACTGCTGGTACGCTCCACTTGCTCAAATCACGAACAGGGTCACTGCTGCAGGACAAGTCTAGCGAGTTCGCCACTTGGGCAGTAGTAGTCTTGCAGTAGATAGGACATGGTGTCCAATCATGATAGACCGAATAGAACCTCCCAAACATGGATATACATAATAAAACTTAATTAGAACTAATTACAAATGACCACTCTGCTTGGGGAGGCTTTATTGATCAACCATCGCTTTTTCTATGGTTCTTTCGATTTTGACCCCAAGAACCCTGTATCACAAGCTAAGGCAAAGTGGAAAAGCATGTGAACTGATTCGCAACAAAGCTACATGTTCATGTCAACTCCAAGCAAGATCACGTACAAACATACGGCTCGAGATTGATGCTTGGTAGGAGTACTTGTTAGCCAGTGCGCCGATCGCCCCAGGGTGAAACTTGGTGGGGGAGAATCCGATTCGGAGCCCTGTACAGGATCTGAACCCCCCACGCGTCACCGAACCACGACCGGAGCCCCCCGCCCGAAGTTCCGGGACCGCTGCGTGCCACCAGGACCTGGTGAAGGCATTCACTTTGAGTGGCGGAAGACATCTGTCCACTGCGGAGGGAGGCCCAGCCCTTTGCAGTGGAAAGAACTGTTGGGTGCAGCCCAAAATCACCGACTCTCAGGCCACTTTTTCGGGTACACTCGGGACTCGTGCCCAAAAACTGGAGTCAAGGAATAGTTCCCTATTATTTGTGTTCCGTGTTCAATCTACCACAGCCTATAGCCACATGGCTGAAGCCACGATCCCCCCCACCGAACGGCCGACCCTATCGCCTGGCCGCCCAAAACCACGTCCCGCTCCGCTTCGAAGACGCGCGCCTGTCGATTTCAGAGAGCGACAGGCAGCTTCGCTTCCCAAAAAGCAGTGGAAGAACAACCGAACTTCCCTTGAAGTTTTGACCTTCTGGTCCTTCGATGTCCTTCGTGGTTCGTAACCGAACTGGTGCCTTGGGCCTGTAAGACAGGATCACTCGATGGGATTCCAAAAAAAGGTCACTTCTTTGAAGCTGGTCTATGATGGTCTACCAGAATCACTAAAACACAGTTAAAAACACATTTATAAAACTTCAGAGCTTCATCCAGAAACGGCCCTTCTCTTGTGATCGAACCACTCATGGTGTTCGCAAAAAAAATCGGAAATGGTGTCTGCCCCCGGTGCGTGGAACCCCGCGGTCCATGGCACAAGACATGGGCTGGGATTAAAACAAACATGTTGGGTTGGAAGCTGGCGGTATGTCCAAAACATGACGAATCAGCATTCCAGCTATAGCATGGCAGTGCCAAATCGTTGGAGAGATCGACACCATTTTGAGATAGACCAACCCGAATTCGGACGTTTCGGTATGCATCATCCTTCTATTCGCCTGCATCTGCGAGAGCTTTCGCGCAAAGTCAACTGAAGCCTCGCGGAGCTTCTCCTGACCCGACGGGTCACATGCCAAGCACATCGCACGTCAGCGAGAGCTTACCCAACATCGGTTCCAAAAGTGATGTCCACCCTCCTTTAAACTACATCATAAAGACAGGTTTTGATAGGTGTTCATCGGTCGTTCCAGTGGTGAAATCTTTCGCATCCGTGCACGTGCACCGGAAGACACCTGGACACCGAGGGGTCGGAAGCTGTGGGTCCCAGGATGTTTTTGAAAAAATGATGCTATATCTAAGAATCAAAACAACACCATGGACATCCCCACCATGGGGACAAATGCATCACTTGTGATCGCATGAGGGGTGTTTCACATGAAAATACACGCAGGCCCTACAAGAGTGGAGGAAGTTTGCTGTTTTAATGCTGCTTGCTTTGCATTCCTACCAGCATGCTTTACTGGCCCTTCAAGCCCACACCTCTGGCCAATCAGTGGAAGATAAGATAACTGCCCAAGTAAGAGTGCCAATAGAAAGTAGATCTCCCACCAAACCTTCAGGGTAATGACAGGTCATCTAAGCTTGGTTCCTGCAATCTCGGCAGCTTGTCACTGGCCTCTGCCACCTCCTTTGCCCTGCGCTCGGATTCCAGCTGCAGGCGCAAGGTTTCGAGCTCCTGGAGCGCTCCCGATCTCCCCAAGCCGCCCACGAGCGCCCGGCACGTGATTGCAACATGAGTTTTCCCTACCTGTCAGGTGAGGTTTGAATGTTAGATTTTATGTCAGAGTCAGCTGCTTTCCTCCGCCTCCACCTCCTCCTCGTCCGCCTCCTCCTCACCTCAACCGCCAGCTTCGGATGGCAGTGTTCCCCACCGGACGTTCCCCAGCGGACTTCAACCGCGAGCTCCGCCTGACAGTGTTCCCCGCTGGACCTCAACGGCCAGATCCCCAGGCGCACTGACTGGGCGCTGCCGGACCTCAACCAACACACAACCACAAGCACAACCACACAATCACAAACACAGCCATCCATAAACACACAATCACAAACACACAGCCACAAACACGACCACAACACACAATCACAAACACACAATCACAAACACACAGCCACAAAGACAACCACAAGCACATCCATAAACACACAATCACAAACACACAGCCACAAACACAACCACAAGCACGATCACAAACACACAGCCACAAACACACAATCACAAACACACACCGCCAAACACAGCAAACAACCCAAGGACCCACAAGCAAAATCGAGAACCACAAAACTCACGACCATGGCAACATGCTCCTCACCATGGCATGTTGTAATGTCATGCCCTTGGACTAGGTGCAGTCGGGAAGAAGTGGTCACACCTGCGCGGTGTGACCATTCCTGCCTTGGGTCCAATCCACGCTTTTTCGACCAACCAAAACGCTGCGACGGACGAAGTCGCTGCAACTGAAACAGGAGGACCGGAGCTCTTCGGTTCGGCCGCCGATTCGGCCGGCTTTTCGGATTGGACGGGGGTGGTCCCACCGCCGTCCTCCTGGGCGGTGTGGAGCTGCGCTCGTTGAGCCTCCACCACTTGAAGTGTAGCTGCCAAGGTCGACCTGGAACAGGTCGTTTTCAGGCACAGGCAACGCGAGAAACCGGCCGTCTGCGGCTTTTTGTTGGTGGGGTCTGGAAACGTCAAGCTTCCTTCAGAGGTTTGACCCTAGCTACCTCAGCGAGCTACCTGTCTTCGATTGTGGATCATGTGGATCTCAAAGACGTTCTGAAGCTGCTCTGATCACCAAACAAAGCCAGGTCCCCCCACTCCAACTGAGCAGGATCCATGCGCTTTTGGCACCTCACGGCAGTTTCCGGCTCTGCTGGGGTTCACCTCGTTGCTGGGAGGATTCGGCCACTTCAACAACCTCACAGAATCGGAGAACCGCTTTGGCGCTCAAGCCATGTAGCGTGGGCGAAAAAAACCCTGTCTCTGCTCACCCCTGCCCCACCCCTGCCCGGCAACCGCCAAGGGGCGCATGTGAGCATCTGCGCCGAAGGCGCGCTGGTAGGGCAGATGGAGGTCACATGATCAACATGAAGCCCCTTTCAAATGACTGACCTTTGAGCTGAAAGCTCTTTTGATCGGTTCAGAACTTTGAATCAGGTTGGGTGAGTGTCTAGCTGAAACATTGAAGCTGAAACTCTGACTGGACTTTGCTCACACTGTTTGAAGATGTCTTGGAGACCTCCACTACGAGAGAGAGAGAGAGAGAGTCTTTACAGCAGTCTTTGCAATGGTTTTGAGTCTTTGCTGATCGATCCGTCACATGATGCTGGCGGATTTGGGTGAACTCGTGTTTGGCTATGCGGCGCCAAGTGCCCCCAATGGCACTGAGAGAAAAGCGGCTGAAAACAAGCAATGCGTCACCCATTTTGCTCTTCACTTTGTTCACGAAAGGACACATGGTTTGAACATCTGCAATGTTCCTGAGCCATCCAAAACCTTTGAACTTTACTCACTACCGGAAAGGAGAGGTCTTAGCTCGTCGTCGCCCGAATCAACTGACCCCTCGGCCCCTCTGCCCAGATCCACTGCCGGATCGAAGCATCTGCAGCGCCTCGGCGAGCGTGGTGAAACGGCCCAAATGGGGCCACCGGCTGAAACCCGGCTGAGTTCGGGACGTGAAACCAGGAGAGTGAAATGGATGTGGTGTAAAAGCAAGCTTTGGGATGAAGGGTTGGGTCGAATGTATCTAGAAGGGAAACTTTGGGTCAAAAGTAGAATGGTAGGATGGTAGAAGCCTCAAAGTTCCATAGGACAATCCAAGGGCTCTTGCCAGGTGATATCCTCTATACTCTGATCTCGGTGGACCTCCTCAACTTCTGGCAGGGATCCTAGTCGGCCTGGCTCCCCTCCGGGCCTCTAAGAGCAGCTTGGCTCCAAAATAGACAAAGAGCCCCACTGCTGCCCAGTGAGTGTACCTTTCACCGGGTGGTGAATCAGCCATCGGGGAGCTGTGGAGGGCGGACGTTCTTGATGTTTGGTTTGGAAGGCACAAGGATAGATCCAACTGCTACTACTTATCTCTGCAAGACTCCTCGCGTCGCGCCACTCCGGAAACGAAACTCGAAAGAACGGCAGGTCACTTGCGGGGCATCAATTTGGGCAAGACCAAACCGATGGTCGCGCTCAATGCCTCGACGAGCCCCCGGTCGCACCATAGGACCGAAGGGGTGGGCTACGCCCGCGTGGGGGCTTGGAGCTCCAAAAGGGCAGGACCTGCCTTGGCTCTGATCACATTGCAAGCCACTTTGCAGGGGCTGGAAAAAACATGCTTCTTCAGGTGGCGGCTAGGCAAGCTTTTGCGGGAAGGCCTCTTCAAGATATGGCCCAAGTGAAGGCTTCGGAGATTTGGCTTCCCTCATGGAAACCGTGATCCAATACTCAAGACTTCTGCTCATCCGTCCTGACTGCTGGCCCTAGCTTGAAAACAACAGGTGTGTAAAGACGTGGTTGACAAAGACTTGATCTCAAGTCATTCCAGCCCCGTCGTCCTCATAAGAACCACAGTAGAGGGCAGAACTCTGCACAATAGTGAATCCTTCATGGCAAACTGATTGGCACCTTTTTCTATGTGCGAACGGTTTTCTCTTCGGCTGAAACGCTGGAAGAAAGGAATGCACCTTTGACATCCTTTGACCTCCTAGAGATTCTTCTTCCCCAACAAAACACCAACCGATCCTCTTCTACTTCTTTCATCGTGATGTCTCAAAATGCCAGCCACAGGAAAACGGTCCATGTTCAAACAAGAGTGGACTTGATCTGCGCTGACCCATGGTTTGGGGGGGTTGAAAAAGCCAAAAAAAGCATCGTTGACCCAAAGAAGTTCTTCTCATCTGCGCTGCTCACTGTCGCGTCGCTGCGCGAGCGCGGCTGCGACCGCTCTGTCGCCCTCGTTGTTGCCCAAGCGACCGTCATCGCCGCCAACGCGCCGGCGGCGCCGAAGAAGACGGACAGGCGATCCTGGTGCGACTGTCGGGAACCCGGTCGACCATCCCACCGAGGGGGCGAAGGCAAAGCCCGTCTCGAGCGGAGACCGGGGGTCTTCTCGAGCGGAGAACGGGTGAAGGCGATGGGAGTTTGGGAGAGCGAAAAGGCACCAAAAGCATCTTCTCCAACGGCGGTGGGGTTGGATCTCACTGAAGACGGCCAGCGTCCTGATGAAGAACAATGAAGGTTGAATCCTCCTTCATGGTCAGAGAGAGAGAGAGAGGTACAGTACTTCTACATACAGGGTTGGGAAGGATGTGATCTTGATATCTTACCTTCTTTCCAGCAAACATGGGAGTGGGAGGCTGGCGGCTATCCTCTTGGATGGCCATGGTTTTCCTTACAAATACGGGTGTGTCCACTTCCATTATTGTTGGCGGGGGAGGGGAGTACTATATTTATTGTCACATCCCAGAGTGTCTGCCGCTTCGCTCCGATACGCGGCGACACGAAGAGCATCCAGGAGCTGTGAACATCATCCAAGCAGAAGAAGCAGGAGCTGGCCGATGGTCTCAGTTCTGGCCTTTTTCGAGAACAAAAAAATCCGGCGAGTTTCGCCGGATGAAACGAATCTAAGGTTTCGGCATGTCTCATTGCCAGCAAAGCAGCGATGAAGAAGGTCTTATCACCTCAATGGCAGCAGTCTCTTGGCAGAACCAAAAAAGCAAAGAGCGATCAAGACTCAAGGAATGACGTCTTCTCCACTTTTCCATCACGTCCCTGAAGGAAAGGTGACAGGTGGATTCCACCCAGCCAAACAAAGGGGAAGAGCCTCAAGAGGCCACCTGCCACCTGCTTCTTGTGACACGGCTCCGTCACGCACGCCGTTCCCCCCCCGCGCCACGCTTTCGCTCACAGGGGTGACCCGTCCACAGCGTCGTTCTTCGGTTGACCCCTGAGGACTCCATACCCAGCTCGGTCACCAGGATCATCAAGAAGCTGTTGCTGAAGGCCTCCAGGTCACGATCTTAGTCTCGACTCCGTAGAAAAGACCCGGTCTGAACACCAGCTTAGCTAGCAGCTTAGTCCTTACATGAAGCAGAACATGGACCAAAAAAAGAACGAACACCCTACTGTTCGCACAGTCTGCGGTCTCAGTTCCTGCCTCTTGCAACGTGCCTAGCTCTGCCAGGTCACTGGTAGTGTCCATCTCTGTGGCATTCCTCACAAGGCCGAATTTTCGCGCAACATCGTGATTAAACCACCTGAACCAAGTATGTCGAACTTGTGCTTGATGGTGATCAAGTTCGCACTTCTCCTTGTTTCCCTGACAGCTTAAAAAAATGCCCTGGACCTTTGCTTGCTTCGGATGTTCTATAGTTTCCTTGGTATCTCAGCCACCTCGTCGACCAGATGACCTCCTCGCTTCCGCCCTCAGCCCTACCGCCTACGCTCCGGGCGCCCCCACGTCGCGGCGGCCAGCGTCGCCAGCGGCGCCAAAACTCGAAGTGTCATTGGTCAAAGTGCACCTCTGCAGGGGAGCACAGCGCCGAAGCGTGCAGAGACGACGGGGGGGGGCCGACACGTCCGAGCACGGCGAAAACGAGTTTCTCAACACGGTTTGGTGTCATTTCGAGGCCTCCTTCCCCCAAGTGTCAGAGCGAGCTCGATGGCGTTTTCTGGATCTGCAATGATTGGAATCCAAGTGATGGTCCCTTAGGGACTTAGGAGGACTCAGGAGGCTGCCTAAGCTGCAAAGCCCTGGTTTCACCTCGTATAGGAGGTGACATGTGCCAGGTGCCACCCACATCTGTCTCGCTGTTGACTGATCTTGATGATCGCCTTTGAGTCTAAACAGAAGAACGAAGGATGCCCACATGGAGGTTATAGAATGATCCTAAATTCCTGCCGAAAAAGTGGTCTTTCGCTTCCCTTTCGCCAAAAGGTTATGAAGAAACACGGGTGGAAACACCGTCCAGCTGCACCGGCTCCAGCCTCCACTCATGCACACCGGTGACACCCGTCCTGCAGATCCCTCAAAGTGGCTTCAGAGATGCACGGTTCCAACGAGATGACGTCTCCGGCTGCCCGGCTGCCCCACTGAAAAGCGGGAAAAAAAAAAAACGTTCCGCATCAGGTTTGGCACCCTGCAACAAAAGGCAGACATGTGTTCAATCTGAGGCCCCTCAAGTGACCTGGTCACCCATCTGAAGCCCCTCGGAACAAGCCCTTGATTGCGGGCTCCTCCGAAGCACCTGCGAAGTGTCGATCGGCCAAGCGACGTGGCACGCCTCTTTCGGCAGCAAACTATGTTTAGACCTGTTTTCTTTTTGTTCTGTTTCTATCAGCGATGGCCTCCCACCTAAGAGCCATGGCCTCAAACCTACTAGCAATGGCGCGTCTTTTTCAGCGCTGTTCCGCCTTACTCTTTTCGGCAGCACATTGGCAGCTTCTCTATGAGTGGCTGGATGCGCTTTGGCTGTAAGCTTCTGAACGTTCACTGTCCCTGAAAGACTTCAGAATGTTCTTGGTCATATCCTGCCACGTGCATCCCAACTTCCAAACACTGGAAATGCTTGGGTGGAAGGAAAGAATCTCATGAGAAATCCAGACTTGTCGTTCCCCCCCCCCGCCTTTTCCAACATGACATTATCAACACAACGCGAGCAGTTAAACCTTGCGCATCGAAACAAGGACGGTCAAGTAAGCGCATCACCCAATGCGCATCCTTACGGGACCTCGGCACGACCTCGGCACGCCTCCAGGTCTTCCAAGGTATACTTCTGTACCATTGCACCTCAAAGACTCTTATCACACCGCAGCAGCGCGGTGCGTTCGAGGCCAAAAAGGGATGCAGCTAGCTGCTACTAGCTGAATCGCAGCTTGATGGTGGCGTCCAAAGTGGGGCTAGAAATAGACTTTGGTGGGAAAAAACAGAGATTGGATGAAGTTGGAGAATTCCTTCCAATCCTCGTGGTGCAGGATTTCTTCCAACCTTAAAAAGATTGCTCGAAGCTGCTGCTTGGGCAAAAATGGAAAGATGATGTGAGATTCTCAAGAACTCGCAATTCCACCTCAGGGATCTAGGGCAGAATTCACCACCAGGAGAGCCGAGCTCCTCAGCTTGTTTTCAGCAAAGAAATCTCCCCATGAAACACGGGATCTTCCGTTTTTTTAGGGGGGCCCTGGCCACACCGTGTGACACCTCTTGGAGAGCCACGGTGTGAATCCATGAATTTCTTCTTCATGTCCTCCGCAGCCTCAGGGCTCACCTGCAGCACAAGCAGGTAGAAGCAAAACCAAAAATCCTTGGAAAGACATAGGCTTCAGGATGCTTCAGGTGCCTAGGTCACATCCAGAGGACCCTGAGTTTCTATTCATCAAGTCAGAAACCAAAGGTTGCTTCGCGAACCTGACGCAACTGGTGGTCCAAAATCACTTTCAGCTGTTCCTTTCGCGACTTCCGCCTGCTTCAGATAGGTGTCCAAATCTCTCCAGAACTGCTCGGCCTCAGCCTTCACATCAACCTGCACCGAACTGCTCGGCTCCGAATCTCCGTCGCGCGAACGCACAGCCCAACGCAGAGAATGCCGAGTCGTGTAAACCGGTGACCGGTCCGTTGGTTGCGCGATCCCGCCGCCGCCACGCCACCACGGCGCCACGGAGTGCGGTCGCTTTTGGGCTCGTAGGCGCGTGGAGGCTTCGTAGGTTGAAATGCGAGTTCTGGCAATTACAACTCCGTCTGGTCTGCCAGGCACTCATTACAACTCCTCACCGAACAAGGCTCGGTTGGGGCCTTATTCGATTTTAAACGAATTGATGCCAGGTTGGATGGACGGGCAAGTGGGGTGCTGCGGCATGTGGACCTTCACTTGGGATGCAAACTTCCAAGAAGTCTCCAGCAAGTCTACGGAGCCATCTTGAAAAACTTCTGAGTCTGAGAGTTGATGTTTGAAACAACACCAACAACACCCCCCCCAGTGGGTCCAAGAAAATCTGGACTTCGTCCAGTCGCTTCTAAGTCCGACGAAGAAACAGTCCGAAAAGGACCCACAGAAGCATCTTTGCCTCTGGGCCAAAATGGAAAACGAGGTGCCCAACGAGGCTTCAACAAAATCCTTGGGACCTAGTGCAACGCGGATCGTCAGATGACCAGCTTCCAGCAAAGCATCATGCTCTGCTAGCAACTGTGACCAAACGAATCGTTCGTCGACTCCACAAAAACTCCTCCTCCGCTCGCGTTGACCCCGATGAAAACCCGATGCAAACTAAGTGAATCTGGTGTTTCGGATACGGACGGCTTTCCTCAGACCGAACTCGTGTTTCTCTCAGAAAAAAGAAAAGAACGTCCTTTGTTGGAGACGAACTGCTAACAATTCCTGTCCTTTTGAAGAAAACAAGGCCTCAAGCCAGGCACGGCAGCCTCCAGATCCTCCCATTTTGGGAGGAAAAACGATTCAAGTCGCGACGAGAAAAACGGAAAAGAGGAGAAGCTCGTCCGGGCATCAGTTTTGATGGCCCAACGTTTCAGGTCGCCAGTGCCACAGATTCGTGTGTTGGCACCTTTGATTCGTGACTGAAACAAGAACCTCGTTGATTGATCCCTCAATAAATGAACCCCCGTCACTTGCAAGCTGTTCAAAGGAATTTGTGCCTCTAATTTGAGATCCCTGGATGAGGTAGAAGCGTTAGCTTTACTCTCCACGTGTCACGAACGGAAGGTGCTACCTGGAGCCCCAAAGAACCAAGATGGTTGCAAGGAACAACCACTTAAACTCTTGGCATTCCAGGTTAATCTTCCTAAGCACTGATCTCCAGCTCCAGGGGAGCAGAGTCAGACACTGCTTCACTCTCCTTCTTGTCAGCCTGGGCCTCGTCCTGCTTCCGCCACTCCTGCCATGGAGAACAAATCGACCCCATCCATATGGACCATTGATTTGCACCACCGCAGTTCACAACTCTCACAACGGAAAGGTTGAACAGTTCTTGCAGCAGGTATATAGTTGTGTTTCTACTATGTTTCTTCGGGGATAGTCGAGCCCATGCAGTCAAACGGGCCTTTCCCAGATTTCCTCCGTAGCACCAAACATCATGTTCCTGATAGCAACATCAACAGATCCCCGCTGGCTCCTCCATCATCTTGGCCAACTGCTTCTTGGCCCGATGGATCATGATGGCCACTGCTGCGATCCCAACGATCCAATAAGCAAACCAGGCGAAGATCTCTACAGGAGTTGCTTGATCTTGCCAACCAAAGAGTGCTCGCATCAAGACAAAGAAGCGATTGGTCTTGTCGTTGCAACAGTCCCGGGCATCCCACACGTTCACGTTCTGCCAGGGCCTTTGGGAGCGTGGGCTCCAAATCCCAAAGACATCCAGCTCTTGCAACTGATGCATTGAGGCAGAGAAGAAGCCAGCAGCGATGAACATCAGCAGGATGGCGCTTCCACGCATGAACCAGTCCACACGGACCTTCTTGGTGCCTTGGAAGAAGCAGCAGCCCACCAGTCGGGACAAAACCAAGGCGCTGATGATGGGCAAGGGCAGGGAGCTCAAGTCCTTCACATCGGTGATCACACCCACCAAGAAGACAATGGACTCCAAACCCTCCCGTAGGCCTGTTGTGAAGGCCAACACAAAGAAGGCATGTTTGCGGCCGAAGCTCACCTGCTGTCCAGTTTCTGCTTCCCGTGTCGCCTCCAAAGTCGCCTCCATCTGTTTCTTCATCTTCCGTTCATGGGCTTCCTTCGTGAAGATCATCTTGTAAAAGTTCACCGCCAAGAAGGTCAAGACGGCAGAGGTGAGCATCATCATACAGAACTGGAAGATCCGTTCATTGTCCCCCTCGAAGAGTTGGTAGGTCAGCGAGGCCAAAGCCAAGAACCCCACGCCGAAGCAGAGACACAAGGCAAATCCTAAGCCGGCACCCACGTAGACCTCGCGGCGGAACTTGTAGTACTGCTCCGGCTGCATCAGCCCATCCTGCTTCATCTTCTGCAGGAACTGTAAAATGATGGCGAGGACAATGACCACCTCCAGGCTCTCCCGGAACAGAACAACAAAAGCGGGCACCGAGAAGTAGATGTTGGCGACACCTGTGCGCGGCTCGGCGGTGGTGATGTTGTTGGCTCGCCCCGTGGCCGCGTCCACACAGTCACACCAAGGCTCCCAGTAGACATGACCATAGATCTCGGCACACTGCATTTCATTCAGACCCCCATGACACGCTTCATCCTCCTCATCCCAGCAACCGTACTGACAAATCAGTCCGGTGGTGTTCACATAGCCTTGGACAAATCCAAGAAAGCTCAGGAGCACCGCTGCACGGAAGGAGAAAAGCATCTCGCTTGGCGCCTCCGGTCACACGTCGCGGGGATCGCGGGGATCGGTTTGTCACGTCTCGGGCTTGAGCCAGGAGTGCTGGGGATCGATTGCAGAGGATCATTTCGGGCAGGCACGGAGAGGCAACAAGCTAAAGAAAGCATCCACGTCTTCTTCCAAGACTTGCAGAAAAAGAGAGAATTCAGAACCGCTGGCGCAACAAAGCGGGTGCCTTCTGAAGAGGGGAAAGAAGCAAAAAAACCAGAGACTGGCAGTCGTCTGTCAAGAGTCTTTCAAACAGAACGGTCCGACCAAGCGTGGTTCCGAGCCCCGGTGACACCGCTCTCAAATGCCTGCCTTCAAGGGCTGAATGGACGACATCCGAGTGAATTCCAGGCTGCGCGGTCCAGGGAGGGAGTCAGGGAGTGATGCCTGTGAGGCTTGTCTTTGGCTGAAGGACCTTGGAGGCTTGTCTGCTGCGTGTTGACACACTTGAAAAACAAAATCTGAGTGTGTTTTAGAGGTGTTGACACAGTGTCTCCATGATTCCAGCACAATCTGTCGTTAAGCTTGCTTCGCTTGCATCTCTCATCTCAAATCTGGCAGGCGTTCGAAGGCTCATCGTTTTTCAGCCATTTTCATCTGGTGGGCGCGTCCAGAGTTGGTGGTTTGAGCATGTTTTAGCGAACAAAATGGAGTTGTGACCGGTGAAGCCGATTCATCTGATACTAAGTCAAGACGATGGGGCTGGTCTTTACAGGGATTTGTCTTGTTCAGTCCAAAACGGACATGTCCCAAGCTCTGAAAAGAAGCCTCCCATTTTGGAGGAAGCTCTTTTCACGGGAGGCTAAACCCAAATAATCCGATTCCCGACCCTTTAGGCCCAGCACTTAGATCTTTTTGCAAGCACTTTTTGCAGGTGCAAATCGCACCATGGCGGAAACACGGCTTGTATAGTTCAAAGAAAGCACACCTGATTGATGCGCAACAAGTTGGCCTAATGAAGACTAGGTGGATTGGCGGCACCTGCTTTCAGTTGCGCCGAGATTCACTATCCAACAAAATGACTGAGGAAACACAAGCGGCTCCTCTCAGGATTTGGACTCTGCTTCCTGCCACAATGTCAGCACAGTCAGCACAGTGCAATGCTGAAGTCAACACAAGACCAATCCAGTGTCTAACAAGTCTGGCCACATCAGGCAACGGCCAAGCGCTCGGCCGCTCGGCCTCATCGCTTTGTCTCGATCGGTGCCAGACGGTGCCCCGGCCTTCTCAAAAACGTGCACACGCACAAAGCCATCCTGGCGCGGGGCGTTGCGGGGCAGAAAGACGGTCGGTTTGGGACAAGGCTCCTGGAGCTTAACCACCGAAAAGTCCATCCGTCGAAGCACCGCAAAAATCGCAAAAGCACCCCGGAGGTTTGCACCAATCCCACCGATCGAGCCTTAAAAAAAGAAATATGAAAAACCCAGAGGTTTGCACCCACCCGGAGTGTGACTGTTCCTTCCAGGCACCGGTGACTGTTCCGATGGAGTCTGGGAAGAGATTGCGTGAAGCCCAAGAAAGCTTCTCGTGAATTGGTAAACCACTTTTCGATCCTTGCTCCGTTCGTAGAAAGGCCAGTTTCGCCCCGTTCGTAGCGCCCGAAATGCTCCGGACTTGAGTCGCGATGCCCTGGAGCCCCTAGCCGCGCACCAAAGAAAAACAAGTTTAAGCCATACGGCCCGATACGGAGGAGATGTTCCACAGCTCTCCGACCTCACCGAGTACGTCACCGAGTATTTCATCGTTGGACTCCTCAGAGCCAGAAGCCATGGCCGTCCCGTTGCTCGCAAAGGCCAGCGTATGCACCTGCCATGGCCAGCGACCGGGTGGAACGGTACGCCGGGACGGCGGGGACGGCGAAAATGGGTTCTGACACGGCTCTTTGGTTCAGTACTGGTTGGCAGAAACCAGATGAGTCCTGACTTGCCACAAAGCTTTTACAGGAAAGGTCAGCTCAGACCTGCTGCAAGAACAAATAAACTCAGAGCTTGCCCTGTGCGGAGAATGACGAACATAAGCGATTCAGCTATTTGAGGAAATGCGACAAAGACCAACATATCTAACTGTGCCGTGCAGAAGGGCTTTGCGAGGTTGATCGATGGACACCTATCTTTGCCTTGAATCAACTAGCCGTTTGTCTGTTTCCTACTACACAGCTTACATTACCCGCTTCTTGAACCATCCCGCGCGGCCCCAACTCGTGCTGGCGTGGCCGGACCGAAGTGGCCCTTGTTGGTGACACCGTCGCCCTGGCCGCGGTGGAAGGGACACTCCGGCGATCGAGTTCCACCGCCGTTGGGCGCCTGCAGCTGCCCGGGCACTTTGGACGTTCCCAAGCGGAAGAGAAGAGTTCCAAACTGCTCGGTGGCACTGCTGCTGCGGGCAACGTCGCGGACGTCCTGAGACGCCACCCGAAGCTTGTGGGAAAACACGACGCGGACGTGTGGCCTCCGCAGCTGCAGAAGGTGGAAGCAATAAATCAAGTAAGTTGTATTGGTGATCCTGTTTCGCCCTTCACACTGTTGAAAGGGGGTCCAGCACATGATGAGTGCACCGCTGGACACCTCCAGCTCTTCTTTTACAACTTAGTGAACCCTCAATCCCTGAAGCTCAGGGTTTCTCCTGGCCACCCGCTGCAATGACACAGACTTCTCGAGGCCGGTCTTCGATGGCCTCAGACTGATCGATGGGCGTGGACAAGGGCCATCGCAAAACAAAGAGCTTCAAAGCAAGATTATACTAAAATATACTAAAATAAGCAAGAAGAAAACAATGGTTCAGCATACAAAGAGCTTGGAACATCAAACACGCAAGGAATTTAGACCCAACGAGCTTCAAACAATGAAGTTCTAATGCACCATGGACCATGGAACTCTGTTTTTTGGACCTACGGATCTTCCCATCACCCTGGAAAAGTCATTGAACAAGTGGAAAAAAAGTATGGAAAAGTGTCCCAGTTCCTCACTGACCACTTCCAGGTCACTTCCAGTTCCACCTCCCAAACTTCCCCCCGTTTTCGTTGGCTCAACCCTCCACCGGTGCTTCCGGGCCCCCGCACGCCCACGGCGGCCGAGCGAGAGATGGGTCCCAAGGCCACTGCGTTGAGCGGCCGATCCTGAGGGGCACGACATCGGGACAGGCCACGAAGTTCAGGCCCGTACCAAACACATACCAAGAGGCGGGAACTGGGACGTTTGGAGGAATGAAAAAGAAGCTGAGCTTCAGAAAGATTTGCACGAAAGCTTCTTCGAAAAGACCCTGTTCGTATGCAGCAAAAGGAAGCGACGTACTCGGGCAGATCTACCGGACGTACTCAGGCAGATTCCTGTCCGGCGAAAGAGCGGGTGACAGCGACCAGCCGATGACGTGCAGAACATATCAATTCATCCACACATGACAACCTGGGTTTCTGGCAGTCTGTGCTTTGTACAAAAGCTTCCACTCTACACCTGCCAGGATGCAAGCCAGCATCTAACAAGAAACAAGAGATCAGCCCCTTCACAAGCTGTTCAACTGCCAGCAGCCAACTCAGCGCTCCCAAAAAGAGCACAAAGAATATGTTATGCACTACGCAACAAACATGACGCCGCCGGATGTCGTTTTTAACATCTGAGTGAGGGGCCTTTGCCAACATCCCAAACGCACACGCTCATGTCCTCAGGGCCAAAGAAATTCCATTCAGATCATGATCTCAATGCAAGTGGTTGACTGCTCCCATCCATGCTTATCTTGGTGGCATCCAAGAATCGGAATGCTCCACAGGGCTCAGTTTCAAACAATTGAGTCACTGAGAAGAGGACATGTGAGACAGTTGCCACCAGCTCGCGATCATCATTGAAGTCGAACTTTGAAATGCCAGCGTCATGCGCCTGGAAATCCATGGTTCTTTCGGGAAAAATTGCGGGGACACAGCCATCTTTTCCTCTGTCAACCAGGACGTTTGCGGCTGCTCATTTGACACTGGGATCTCTCCTTTTTTGGAGCTGAGCACCTGAGATTGTTGCTGGGAGAAATCTGAAGCACTTCCGAAACGCTTTCAAAACTGGTCCATGAACCCAGCCAGTCTTCAAAGGCAGAGAGACGGAGCGAGTCGCGAGTCGTCCCTCCAAACCAGCGATGACGGATCCAAATGACCGAGCCTCTCAGGCTCCCTGTCCATGGTGTTTCTTCGAGAAACTCCAAAGCATCCAAAAGCATCAAAAAAAATGGTATCTACACTGTACCCATCTTTATATAACATAATATAATATGATATGATGTAATTTAATTATGTAGTATGGTATAATCATAGTATAATATAATGTAATAGATTATAACACAATATATATATATATATAACGATAACATAGTGTAACATGTATCTATATATATATATGCATCTCCTTCTTTACCTTTTTCTCAGTGTTTCACCCCAACGACCTCCCGCCGTACTAAGCCTTTCCGGTCAGTCTCACGTATCTCACCGTTCCCGTCGCCTTGAGGCGTTTCACCTCTGCACCCGTGTCGGCGCGCCAAAAGATCAGCTCACCTTGGGAGACGGCGGCTGGAAATTGGAAGAAAGCACCGCCTAGGGTCCTAGGGCCTAGGGTTTCGTTGTGATTTCGCAGTGATACAGTGATGTCCTGTGGCACGTTTGGTCACGTGCCCAAGAATGAGGATGCAATACTTAATAACATGCAGAATAAGATCGACAGAGGAGCGTGCACCGCAAGTAACCTTCATGAAAAGAAAAGCACACGAAATGGAGCGCCTCTTCTGGAAAAAGATTGGAAACACCCCGAGACTGGGCCGGGCCAAAGCTTTGTTCAAGACATGTGAGGGCCACCGCTGTCGTGCGCGCTGGCAATGAAGTAATTTGCTCTGCCCCATCTGACCTGTCCATGAGCGTGCACCGCACAGCCCGAACAAGAAACAACCCCATTTAAAGAATGGATTCCGTCACAATGAGGCAGTGAGATTCCGGCCAGGTAAGCGGAGACAAAGTTGCAATACGTTGTCGTCATGAAACACTTAAACCAGATTCAACCAAACTTGAGGCCGGTGAAAAAGGATGCCAATGATTCCACACATGTGGGATGAGTGCCATTTTTGCTGAAGCCATGTGGAGCCTTGAACATCGCTAGTAGGCTGGATGCCGTCGCTAATGGGGTTCTAGAGCAAGCAAGTCGTCTTCACTCACGCCGTCTTCACATCCACACGTCGCACGCCTGATTGGCGGCCGAGGGCAGCTTGGGCACCACAATCAGCTCCTGCCACCGGGTCCGGCCGGCGACGCAGAATGGTTTTACATCTGCATATGAGGGGTTTTTGTTCATCAACTGTCTACATTAGGTCCTGAAAGTCCCATGCACACCCCAAGGCTTTGAGATGAGCCACCCCTTGGAAGAAAGGATCTCAAACACCGGAAGTCTCATCCAGACGACTCAGGAAGTCTCATCCAGACGACTCAGGAAGTCTCATCCAGACGACTCAGGAAGTCTCATCCAGACGACTCAGGAAGTCTCATCCAGACGACTCAGGAAGTCTCATCCA